TTTTTTTTCTTTTTTTGTGAGGAAGATCAGCCCTGAGCTAACATCCATGCCAATCCTCCTCTTTTTGCTGAGGAAGACCGGCTCTGAGCTAACATCAATTGCCAATCCTCCTCCTTTTTTTTTCGTTTCCCCCAAAGCTCCAGTAGATAGTTGTATGCCATAGTTGCGCATCCTTCTAGTTGCTATATGTGGGACGCCGCCTCAGCATGGCCGGAGAAGCGGTGCGTCAGTGCGTGCCTGGGATCCGAACCCGGGCCGCCAGCAGCGGAGCATGTGCACTTAACCAGTAAGCCATGGGGCCCGCCCCCTGGGATTGTATTCTTCATTTCTCTTTCTACTCTTTCGTAATTCGTGTATAGAAATGCAACTGAGTTTTGTATGTTGATTTTGTACCCTGCAATTTTGCTGTATTTGTTAATTATTTCTAATAGCTTTTTGATGAATTCTTAAGGGTTTTCTATATGTAGAATCATGTCATCTGCAAATGGTTACAGTTTTACTTCTTTTCCCATATGGATACATTTTATTTCTTTTTCTTGCCTAATCACTCTGGCTAGGACTTCCAATACTATGTTGAATAAGAGTAGTGAGAGTGGGTATCCTTGTGTTGCTCCTGTTCTTAGAGAAATAGCTTTCAGTTTTTCACCATTGACTATGATGTTGCTATGGGTTTGTCATATATGGCCTTACTATGCTGAGATACTTTCCTTCTATACCCATTTTATTGAGAGTTTTTATCGTAAATGGGTGTTGGATCTTGTCAAATGACTTCTCTGCATCTATTGAGATGATCATGTGGTTTTTATTCTTCCTTCCTTAATGTGGTGTATCACATTCATTGATTTGCAGAGGTTGAACCATTGCTGCATTCCTGGAATAAATCCCATTTGGTCGTGATGTGTGCTTATAATGTACTATTGTATTCATTTTGCTAATACTTTGTTGAAGATTTTTGCATCTATGTCATCAGTGATGTTTGCCTGTAATTTTCTTTTTTAGTGTTGTCCTTCTGTGGTTTTGGTATCAGGGTGATGTTGGCCTCGTGTAATGAGTTAGGAAGTGTCTCATCCACATCAATGCTTTTGAAGAGTTTGAGAAGGATGGAGAAGAGTTTGAGAAAGCATTAAATCTTTGAGTGCTTGGTAGAATTCACCAGAGAAGCCATCTGGGTCCTGGACTTTTGTTTTTGGGGACATTTTTTATGACTGTTTCAATCTGTTTACTTGTGATTTGTCTATTCAGATTCTCTCTTTCTTCATCTTTTTTTTTAAATTGTGGTAACAGTTTATAACATTATATACATTTTGAGTGTACATCATTATGTTTCGATTTCCTTGTAGATTATATCATTTTCACCACCCAAAGACTAATTACAATCTATCACCATACACGTGTGCCTAATCATTCCTTTCACCCTCCTCCCTCCCGCCTTCTCATCTGGTAAATTCCAATCCAATGTCTGTCTCTGTGTGTTTGTTTGTTGTTGTTTATATCTTCTATTTATGAGTGTGATCATATGGTATTTGACTTTGTCCCTCTGACTTATTTCACTCAGCATATTACCATCAAGGTCCATCCATGTAGTCACAAATGTCCAGATTTCATCTTGTTTATGGCTGAGTAGTATTCCATTGTGTATATATACCCCATCTTCCTTATCCATTTGTCCCTTGATGGGCACCTAGGTTGCTTCCAAGTCTTGGCTATTGTGAATAACGCTGCAATGAACACAGGGGTGCATATACCTTTACACATTCATGCTTTCACGTTCTTTGGGTAAATACCCAGCAATGGAAGAGCTGGATTGTATGGTATTTCTATTCTTAATTTTTTGAGGAATCTCCATACTGTTTTCATAGTGGCTGCAGCAGTTTGCACTCCCACAGCAGTGTATGAGAGTTCCCTTTTCTCCACATCCTCTGCAACACTTACTATTTCTGGTCTCTTTCTTGTCATAAGAACGGGAGTAGTGAGCTTCGAGCTCTTTCCATGTCGGAGTTGAAACCAGAAGGCCCTGTTGTGGCCATTTTCACAGCATCGAGCTACAGCCAGTGAGAGACATTAAGGGTCATGAAGTCAAAGGACTATAAAGTCCTTGGAATCACAAAGACTTTGACACATAGACACAGTTTTCAACTGAGGAATCATAAATTCTAAGGACAAAAATTCTCCAGATTGAAACTCTCCATGCCTCTCCCCTGTTTACAGGACGACATCACATAAAGGGTTTCATTGTCTGGCCCGTTCCACCTCTCCAGCCTCATTTCTCACCACCTATGTCACCCCACCCCCATCCTGTCCCCACTGCCCCTCCCCCTAGAAAAGAAACTCAGTGTCACACTCAGGGTTCCCGCCGTGTCCTAAACGAATTGAGATCCCCTGATGCACCTTGAACATTGTCTAGAAGTTGGATAACCTCCATGACCATTTGTTAATCTAATTAATGAATAAAATTATAAAGCTCTTATCACAGTGTGTAGCACATAGCCGTATCAACAGTGGCCAATCTCTATCATACACCTTATTTGTGCCTGAAACTCTTCTGAGCCCTTCACAGGTATTGATTTATTTTATTTTCACAACCTTTATGTTGTGGGTACTATTATTATTTCCCTTTTAAAGATGAGGAAACTGGGGCACAGAGAGGTTGGCCTCTTGCCCCAGGTTACCCAGATCGTAAGTGGCAGAGCTGGGATTCAAACTCAGGGAAACTTCATCAATGGGTTGTAATTAGCATGAAGGTCCTACTATTTGCCAGGCACTGTGCTAGTACTAGATGCATTCCATCCATTATCTCTAATTTCATGATAACCCCCATTTAAAACATGAAGCAATGGAGGCCCAGAGACATTAGGTGACTTGCCCAGGGTCATATAGCTAGGAAAACCTAGAACTAAAGATCAAGCCAGGTCTGCCTGCTGTAAATCCCATACTCTCTCCTATTCTCAGCATGGCTTCTGGGCTGTCACTTAAGGAAAGGAAGCCCTCAAACTCCTATTCTTCCTTCAAAACACAGCTCAAGGGTCCCTTCTGCTGTCACACTTCCCCTGACCTCTCCCTCACCCGACCCCAGTGCCCCAGTCAGTCCCTTCGTCCTTGAGCCTCCACACCCCCACCCCTGCCCTTCACACAAGGGTCTAGTGGTTAAAACTACAGCCCTGTGCTCCCGTGGTCTTGGGTTCAAATCATGGCTCCGCTGAGGAACCTTGACTACTCTTGTGTGCGATCATTTGAGGATGATTAGTTTCTCATCTGCAGAATGCTGCTGAGAAAAGCACCTCCCTCACAGGGTGGGGTGAAATATGCACCAACCCTAGCCCAGGGCTGTGAAGCACTTACCCCGCTGTGCTGTAATTGTCTGTTTCAGTGACCGTCTCCATCACTGACTTGAGGGCAGGAACTGCTTCTGATGATCTCTCTGCCCCTAGCACCCACCCTGGCTGAGAAGGGGTATTAAATAAATGTGAAGTAAATGAATGAAAAAGAAGTGACTGAATCTTAGAATCCTGGTCTCACAATTTCATACCTAAAATCTAAGAACGTGGCACCACGTTACTGCAAAACTGAAAGGATCTTAGAGACCAACTTCCCGAGGATTTCGATCTTTTTGACTACTACCCACAGTTAGTAATGCACTTTATGTTCCCATCCAGTGTAAACACACAAACACACACACACACACACACACACACACACACACGCATGCTAAAGTTTCAAGAAACAGTGCTTTCCCTTACTGTGTGGGATAAACTTGGATATTTATTTCCTCTTCTCTTCCCTTCTCCTCTCTTCCCTTCCCTTCCCTTCCCTTCCCTTCCCTTCCCTTCCCTTCTTGTCCCTTCTCGTCTCTTCTTTCCTCTCCTCTCTTTTCCAATTTTAACAATTGCAGCTTTAGGTCCACTAAATTGATTGTGACCACGATTGCGTTGTGGCCTCTGGTTTGAAAAACACTTCTCTAGTCCAGCTGCTCAGCCTGCGTCTTCCTCCAGCGTCCCTGACCTGAGCCTGTACGTGCACACCCCTGGAAAGGGAAGTGCCCCTCAGAAGGTGAGAGTTTCATTGTGGGACAGCAGGAATTGTTAGAAAGTCCCTTCTCTGAAGTCAAAATGAGCCTGCGGTAACTTCCCGGTTGGTGCCGTCTGGCTTGCTGGTCTCTGTGGCTGCATCTTCTGGAGCAGGTCACGTCCTCTCGCTGGGGTCACGTTCTTCACCTGCCCCCACGCATGAGCCCCACCTAAGTGCATTGTGCCTAAAAGCCCATCATCAAAGCCAGTCTTTGGGGTTAAGGCTTTGATCTCCACCCACCATCTCCCATTGCTGTGTTTGTGGGGGTCACTGGGGCCAGTCCATCCGTAGTGGCTGAGTCTTCAGCTCCTGTACAGAGAAGTGTTGGGACTGCGTGGGGTATCAGAGTCTGAGGGGTGGTGGGAGGGTGCTGCTGGTGATGTCAGAGACCCGGATGCCACAGAGGGGCTCTGCAGGGTCCTGGGTCCTGCCACACAGCAACCTGAGGTGGCTCTTACCCCTGCATCAGACCTGCTCTCTCTGGGGTAGTTTGCCTCTCCTCACCTCAGAAGGGCAAGGGCAGGAGGCAGCACAGACCACAAATTAGCAGAACCTGGTGCAAACTGAGAACACAGGGCCCTTGTTCAAAAATCAGGAAATGTTTCAAGACAGAGAGCAGAGCAGTGAATCAAGCATGAGCCCCTCGGAGTGTGGGCCCTGGGCTGCTGCAGGGTCGGATACCCATGATGCTGGCCCCGGCCCTGTGCCCGGGAGGCAGGCTCAGCGGCCCTGTGTGAGTGAGGCCTGGGACCCCCGAGTGCAGGAGAGGAAACCAGGCCCGTGAATATTCGGGGAAGTGGGTCCTTAGAGACCTCCTGGCCCAAACCCTCCATGTCCATTTGTAGAATCTGAGGCCCAGAAAGATGGCCCAAGGTCACCCTGCAAATTGGTGGCAGAGCCATATCACAGCCCTGGACCCTCCCTCTGTTTCCTCTCCATTGCTTCTGGAGTTGGTCTCATCTTATGCGGTGTCTTTAGAAACCATTCTCATGATGACAATTTGCAAATGTCTATTCCCCCTGCCCACCACCCGTCTCTCTCCCCCAAGCTCCCGACCCTGTGTCCAGCTGTCCACAGCTGCAGGAGCCTCAGGCTTCCTCTCCTCCCCCGGCTTCCTCCCTGACCCTCCCACCTACTCCCCCACAGCCACCAGAGTGAGTTACTAATTTATAAATTGGATCCCACCACACCTCTGCTCCCAATCCACCGATGTGTTGCACACAGAGTACAATTCAACCTCTTTACCACGGCCTGCGAGACCAGGCCCTGTGGTTTCTCCCATGATTGTCCCCCCCACCTCTGTTCCCACACAGTGACCTTGCTGGTGGTCAGACGCCCCAGCTCACGCCTACCCTGCGTGCCACCTTTCTTCTCTGGAGCACTCTTTCCCCTGATCTCCCCATGGCTCCCTCGTCCCTTCATTCAGGGCTCAGCTCACCTGCCCCTTCCCTCAGAGGTCTTCCTATGCACTCTGTCCCAAATGGACCCCAGCACTCTCTCTCCCCTGCATTCTTTATTTTCCTTCATGCCAGTTAACCCTCCCTGAAATAACATTGCACATTTTTCCTTTATTTTCAGCCTCCCCTCTAGAATGTAGCTTCCGTGAGGGTCGAAACCTGTCTTGCTCAGTTGCTCAGTGTCTTGAATGCTGCCTGGCGCATAATTGGCGCTCTATCAAGAGCTGTTGTAGGAGTGCTGAAACTGATAATGAAATGAATTCATTGAGGAAATGAGTTCAGAAGCTACTGTGTGTCAGGCACTGTGCTGGGCTCTGAGGACTCAGACAGGGAGCAAGTGCACGTGAAAGGGTCTCTGCCCTCAAGGAGTTTTGTCATCAACTTGGGGAGAGATGGATCTTTGGGGAGCAGCAGAGTGACAGGAGTGGCCTGTCTAAGCTAGGGTAAGCCTGTCTAAGATGATGGGGCGAGGATGAAAGGTAATGGGTCACTGCAGCAAAGGGTTGGATTTTAGGGACCATCGATGTCCTTTTTCTGAGGAGTTAGGTTTTCTCTGTCCCTCTCTGTTCCTTAAGCCTCTGACGCCAGGACTGGGGCCCATATTCATGATGAGGGCTCTTGGGGCCCCAGACCCTCTAGGAGGCGGGGCTTACAGATTAGGTGAGACCCACTTCCTGCTGGCGCTGGACTCAGGAAGAAGATTGGCTTGGCTGCACCCAGGAGATGAGCCTCACCCAGCGTTCATGGGGCCCAGCCTGAGGGAGCCTGTGGGCGCCTGGGCCCTCCTCAGACCCGCCCAAGAGGACTCCAATCTCCCCACTTCTCCCCAAGCCTTCCAGCCTCACAGAGCAGGCTGCCCGTGTCTACCCAGCCCCTGTAGCTCCACCCTGGTGTGACCAGTCTCCTCCTTCCCTGCTGATGGGGTGACTGAAGCCGAAGGGCAAATGCAGGGGCCCTTGAAGGGAAAGTCACCAGCTCCAGGGAGTCTCCTCTGCTTTCTCATTGGTAGTGCTTCCTCCTTTTCTTTACTCCCATAGCACAAATCCTCTCATTTATTTATCCAAGCACCCATCCATCCATCCAACAAACATTCACTGAGCACCTACTATGCTCCCAGCACTTAATCACAGTACTGAATGAGAACACGGTCCTTGCCCTCGCAGAGCTTACAGTCTAATGAGGAGAAGAGTCCTATTGCAGCCACAGTCATGCACTGCATAATGATGCTTCCATCAGTGATGGACGGCATATATGATGGTGGTCCATATATGGTGGTCCCATAAGATTATAAGGGAGCTGAAAATCTCCTATCGCCTAGTGACATCGTAGCCGTAGTAACAACGTAGTGCAACACATAACTCACATGTTTGTGGTGATGCTGGTGAAAACAAACCTACTGCACTGCCAGCTGTGTAAAAATATACAGCACATACAATTATGTACAGTACATAGTACTTGAAAATGATAATAAATGACTATGTTACTGGTTTATGTATTTACTATGCTATACTTTTCTCATTCTTTTAGAGTGTACTTTTCCTACTTATAAAAAAAGTCTCCTATAAAACAGTGTGCTGTGTTACGATGCCAGCAGGCTCATACATCTCAAATTTACCGCGAATTTTGATTGCATCATTTTCTTTTGTGAGTTTTTTCTTTCTTTTGCTCATTATGGCCCCTAAGAGTAGGAAATCCACTGGTGTTGTTGCCAGTAAGAGGCTACATTGATGATTGACCTGGAAACAAAATTAAAGTGATTAAGAACGACGAAGTGGAAAATCAGTGATGGTTATTGCTCACCAGTCAAGCACGTCCCATTCCACCATAGCTACAATCTTCAAGGACAAGAACAAAGTGATGGAAGCTGTTAAAGGATCTGCTTCATTGCAGGCAGTGAGACTAACAAAAATTCGAGAATGGTCTATATCAAACATGGAGAAACATCTAGTGACCTCTATTGAAGACCAATCACAGAAGCGTATCCCTCTCAGCCCAGTGACAATCACACACAAAGCAAATGTTTGTGATGTTGAAGGAAAAAGCTGGACCCAACCATGATGTTAAATTTACTGCTAGCTCTGGGTGGTTTAAATGATTGAAGAATCATTATTCATGATGTAATGTGAGTGGTGAGTCTGTGAATGCTGATGTGAAGGCAGCTGAAGAATTTTTGAAAATTCTAGATAAGCCTGATTGTGGAGAAAATTACTTGCCAGAGCAAATAATCAATATGGATGAAACTTCCCTATTCTGGGAAGGGATGACCGAAAGGACTTTCATCCATAGGGAGGCCAAGTCAATGCCAGGGTTCAAAGCTTTTAAGGACAGGATGACAGTCTCACTTGGGGGCCACACTGCAGGCTACAAACTGACACCCTTTATGATCTGGCACAGTGACAACCACAGGGCCTTCAAGCATGTCAGTAAACCCACAACGCCAGTGTAACTGTACTACAGGAGCAGTAAGAAGTCATGGATGACCCAGCTCCTCTTCCAAGATGCCCTCCTGAATTGCTATCAGTGAAATGGAGAAGTACTGTTTGGAGAATAGCATACCTTTCAAGATTTTGCTTATTGTTGATAATGCTCCTGGGCAACTTCCTTTTATTGGTGATTTTCATCCCAATATCAAAGTGATGATTCTCCCTCCAAACACCACCTCTTTGATCCAACCAATGGATCAAGGAGTTATAGCAGCTTTTAAGGCCTACTACCTGAGGAGGACCTTTGCCCAGGCTATTGCTGCAACTGAGGAAGACACCGATGCAATCCTGTAAGGATTACTACATCTATGACTGCATCAAGAACCTGCTTGGGCTTGGGGTGATGTCGCTAAGGAGCGTATGAATGGCATCTGGAAGAAGACACTCATGAGGTCCATCCATGACTTCAAAGGATTTACCAAGATGAGGAGGTTGCAAAAATCAACAAGGCTGTAGTTGAGAAGTCAAACATTTTTAACTGGGGTGTGGATGAGGATGACACTGAGGAGCTCCTAGAGGTGGTTCCTGAAGAATGGACTAATGGGGAGTTGGAACTGGAACAGGAATGCATAGCTGAAGAAGAGGAAACTGCAGAGAAAAAGAAGAACCCCCAAGACAATTCACAGTGAAGAGTTTAGAAGAAGCTTTTGCAGACCTCAACAAGCCCCTTAAAACATTTGAAACCATGGACCCCAACAATGAAAGGTTTTCTTTAATAGAGAGGAATGTTCATGGTGCATTATTTGCTTACAAGCAAATCTGTGATGAAAAAAAGAAACAAATCAAACAAACCAACATGGACATATTTCTGGAAAGAGTGACACCTCCTGAAGGAGAGCCTCAGGAGGGCCTTCAGGAGGTATTCCAGAAGAAGGCATTGTTATCGTAGGAGATGGCTGCTCCATGTGTGTTTTTGCCCCCAAAGGTCTTCCAGTGGGACAAGATGTGGAGTTAGAAGATAGTGATGTTGATAATCCTGACCCTGTGTAGGCCTAGGCTAATGTGTGTATGTTTTTGTTTTGACAAAAAAGTTTAAAAAGTAAAAAAATAAAAAAACTTAAAAGTAAAAAAAAATTTTTAATAGAAAAAAAGCTTATAGAATAAGGATATAAAGAAAGAAAATATTTTTGTATGACTGTACAATGTATTTGTATTTTAAGCTAAGTGTTAATACTAAAGAGTCAAAAAGTTAAAAAAATTAAAAAGTATAAAGTAAAAATGTAACAGTAAGGTAAGGTTAATTATTGAAGAAAGAAAAATATTTTTTTATGGATTTAGTGTAGCCTAGCGTGCAGCGTTTATAAAGTCTGCGGTAGTGTAGAGTAATGTCCTAGGCCTTCACATTCACTCACCATCACTCACTCACTCACTCAGAGCAACTTCTGTCCTGCAGGCTCCGTTCACGGTAAGTGCCCTATACAGGTGTACCATTTTTTATCTTTTATACCATAGTTTTACTGTACCTTTTCTGTGTTTAGATATGTTTAGAGACACAAATACCATTGTGTTACAATTGCCTACAGTATTCAGTACAGTAACATTCTATACAGGTTTGTAGCCTAGGACCAATAGACTATGCCATATAGCCTAGGTCTGTAGTAGGCTATACCACCTAGATTTGGGTAAGGACATTCTAGGATGTTCACACAATGATGAAATCGCCTAATGATGCACTTCTCAGAATATATCCCCATCATTAAGCGACACATGACTGTAATTGCAAGTTAAAAATTAATATAGCTGTGATACACGCTATGCTCGAGAAGTACCTGAACCTCTGGGGGCGTCAGGGTGGGGAAGGCTTTCCTGAGGGAACAACTTTCACCCAAGACTGTGCTGTCCAATATGGCAGCCACTGGCCACACGTGGTTGTCGAGCACTTGAAATGTGGCTTGTGCCACAGAGGAACTAAATTTTTAATTGTATTTCATCTTAATTAATTGAAATTGAAATTTAAAAACTGAAGCAGTGTAACATAGATATATATTTTTTGTTAAACACAACTTTATTGTTTTGGCAGGACTGCATTTCAGTTTGTTGAACATTTCCAAGACTAAAGGAAAAAATAATGTAAAATAGCACAATATTTTCTATGTTGTTTACATGTTGAAATGATATGATTTCAGGTATTGGGTTAAATAAAATAT